GAATCACGTATGCTCATGGGTCAAAGACGAACAAGGATTTAAGCATAAAAACAATGCTGCTTTAAATTGTTGTTTTTCCAAAAAAATAAAAATTTTAAAATTAAAAAGTTTTCTGTTTAATGTAATTGTATTTTTTTGTTTTTGTTTTTCTGAGCAAAAAATAAATATCATACATTTTCCCCTGATTTACAGAAGAGACCCACTAAAATATCATTCAGTGTAACAATCTTGTCAGGCATATTTACAACAAATCAATTTATGACATATTAAAAGACTAATTACTTTCACCCCAAATACTTAGTTGTAATTTTACACTTTTAAAATTTGCCACGATCCTTTGTCAGTAAGATTTTTTTACTCATTTAAAACACCATCAAATTTAATATGCTCCCTTATTCTTTTATATATTTTAATATGTACACGTCAGAATAAGCATGTTGTAAGCATACTGTGTTACACTGAATGACAATGTAACATTATTTCAACCAAATTTTGACATTTTATTCTCCAAAAACTTATTTGAAACCTTAAAAGTAGACACTTTACTTACATTTAATGTGCTTTCTATGGACATAAAATCACTTTTGTACATTTCTTTTGATGCGGACATCTTAACGTCTTTGACCCACATACTACTAAATAGGAAAACACTGCAAAGCTAGAGGACAGACTACTAACCGGTTATCACATTTACAGCTAACTGCTGTTCTCAGTCTCGTCCACTATGAAGGGCGCATGCATGCGGTTACCTTTCCTCCTCCGGGCTGGTGCTTGATGTTGTCTGTGGAACCGATCTTGGAGCGGATGTGTTTGATGCCTGGTGCCGGTGTGGAGCTGGGCCTCGCTGTGCTGCGAGTCATTGCGCTGGCGCTGGAGGTGGAGCTGGAGCTGGGTCGAGGTGCGCGGGGCACCGCCGGCTTCTTCTCGGGCGCAGCAGCGGCTGTAGTGCTGCTGGAGACGGGTGTTTTGGTGGTGCGAGGGTGAGCGGTGATGCTGCTGCTTGTAGTGGTGGAGGCTTTGAGAGGAGCAGGTTTAGAGCGGGCGGCATCTGAAACCACAGACGTCAGGTTACCTTAACTATGTTTGAGAGAAACACTTGTTTGGGCTGTAGTTGAAACACTTCCATAGAAAGTTAAAGGGATAGTTCACCCACAAATGAAAATTCTGTCATTAATTACTCCCCCTCATGTCGTTCCAAACCTGTAAGACCTCCGTTCATCTTCGGAACACAAATTAAGATATTTCTGATGCATTCTGAGAGCTCTCTGACTCTCCCACAGACAGCAAGGATCCTAACACGATCAAGGCTCAGAAACATAGCAAGGACATCTTAAAGTGCCCCTATTATGGATTTTTGAAAATGACCTTTTATGCAGTGTGCAACAGCTCTAAGTGAATGAAAACATCCTGCAAAGTTTTAAATCTGAAAGTCACCGTGTATAAAGTTATTGTCTCTCAATAGAATGAGTCGACTCTGAATCATTTAAAGGGGTCCTATTATGCTCTTTTACAAAGTCTTGATTTTGTTTTGGGGGTGTACTAGCCATTCCAATTTCTGTAGGCGGGAATTATTTGTAATGATATTCCAATGAGCCGCTTTGTGATGTCACAAAGCCCGGAAAACAAACGCTGTAGTCCAAACGAGCCGTTCGTTGTAGTTCTTGAAAAGGGATTTTTAAAAAACGAAATATCTCCCTTTGGACTTTGAGATTTGTAACTTTCTAGCTCTTTTTAATGCCCAAACATACACACTACACACTGACTAAAATTAAAAAAGTGAAAAAGCATAATAGGACCCCTTTAAACAAGTCAACATGAAACATTAGCATATTGCCCGCCCACTTGTTGGCCTGAATGGAAAAGCAAATTCATTCTTTGCCACTAGCTGCCACTTTTGGAGCGGTAAAATATCTGTTTCCCCGGTAACGCTGTACACAAAGCAGCACTGCGCTCACAAACGCTGCTTTATCAGGCATTACAGGCAAGATCCAATTGGACCAATCACCGCAGATTAGCATCACGCAAAGGAGGGGTTTGGAAAAATTGATCGTCGAGTGAATCGTTTGGGAGTCGTTGAGCAAGTAAGGTAAACATAAATGCATATTTTAAGACAACGAAAGTGTTTTTTGAGCTTGCATGCATGTCGACCTGTTGTTGGGGACTCCCAAAACCAAAATATTAACCTTTCATAACCTATAACAGGGGCACTTTAAAATAATCCATGTGACATCAGTGGTTCAACCGTAACTTTACAAAGCTACGAGAATACTTTTTGTGCGCAAAAATGCGTGAAAACAAAAATAACTTTATTCAACAATTAGTCTACTCCGTGTCACACTATAGCGCCATTTTGGAGAGTATCAGATACGTTAACAACGTATGCTCTTCTGTGTCAGCAGCACCGTACGCAGATACGCTGTTTACACTTTGATCTGAACATAAACAACGTATCCGCGTACATACGTTGCATACGTTGTTTACGTATGTGATACTCTACAAAATGTCACTATAGGGTGACGCAGAGACGAATTGTTGAATAAAGTCGTTATTTTTGTTTTCTTTGCACACAAAAAGTATTCTCGTAGCTTCGTAA